GAATACAGAGAATAACCCTTTCTATTCACAGATCATCAAATGGTACAGATACATTGACGATATATTTTGTATTTTTTTGGGCGATCACGATGATGCTCGAGAATTTGTTACATTTTTGAATAACTTGGTTGACGATTTGGAATTTACCTCTGAAATTAATTCGGTTAAAGTACATTTTCTCGATATGTGGGTACAGAAGAACGAAGGTAGTTTAACTACAACCTTGTGTGGCACAATGGATATATAGATAACAGACAGTTAGCAGACTACGCCACGATGGGACTTGCACCCAAAGAATTAGCCATTTTGTTTATTCTAACAAGGCACTCAAGTTCGTGATTGATTAGCCAGAGACTGTGTTCCAGTACAATAATACTTTTATTGCTTTCTTTTTAAAAATCAACAGCACGCACAATAATGAGCTCCACAATAAAAAAACACTTGGATTTCCCAACACACACAAGGGAAGGTTTCACAGCAAACAAAAAGAAAAGCACTACATCAAGCAATAAGACACGCACCAACTTCACTCCTACACACACACACACACACACACACACACACAAGGTCGTGCTGAAGCTCGCCAGTGGGAGACTAGTAACTCCAGCAATGAGCATCCATGGGAAACACCCCAATCACACGTGTTGGGTTCACACCCACCTCAAGGAATTTAACCACACTGGTGAACACACAACCACTGCATACATCAAGGGACCCACCACCGCATGGGCACTGTTCCCACTGGCCGCTCTCAGCACCTAGACAAAAGGAAGACACATAAGAGTTACACAGATCACAATGAACGGGTCCAGTAGACCACCCAGAGGGATTACACAAACCTACAATAGGAATAAATACTAACATACAACAATAATTAACCATACCAACTAATAAATGAAGGGAAAAATGCCACACTGAGGATCAGCAACTTCCACGGTCTCCCGTCAGTGTGGACAACTCAAGAAAACAAAAACAGGATCAAACAGAAACAATCATTACAAACGGGCCAATCCCCTTGGACATCAGCAGAGGGGGAAAGGCCTCCAGACAACAGCGTAAATAAAATAAACACAAACAACTTTAACCTATAAAAAGAACAAAACAAACAAAATGAAGTGATGCCAATACATAAAACACGTTCTACAACATTACTCAGATATTCACAACAAAGGGAGAGATGAGAAATCCAACTGAGGCAAGCAACGGTGGTACAGGTCAGCCACTCGCTAACTTGGACTAGCCCCGGGTCCCACACTCATCGATCTCGTGGGACGGAGCAGCCGAAAACGACGAAGAAAGCCCGTAGGCAACACAACAGGAAATAGGTTTAAGCAAAGCAGCAGATGTTCAGAGTCGATGTAGCCAACTTGCGGCCGCACCCCCGGTTAAATAGCACTCCCTAGAATGCACAGGATGTCAATTTACAAATAGTTCCCACATTAACCATTCAACTTTTACTCAGTATAGCAACATACCTATGATTTTCACAGGCCCTTAGCTCTGATTGCTGATCGCAGGGCACACACTCAGCTGGTGAAAGGGCTGCTGTCGCACCGGGGATTCTATAGCACAAAACATTCCCCATAAGCCCAAGCTATAAAGTTAACGAGAGAAAAGAAGCCAACCTTACTTGCAGCGCTACGGTAGACCGATAACCAGGCAGACATCAGGTCGCTGGGCAGGTAAACAAGACAAGTCGCGTACCGGTGACACCATTTGTCAAAATAAAAGTCCCGGTTTATAAAAGGGGTGTAGCCCTCACGATTGGCTCAAAGTTAACTGCCCAGGACCACTCACAACTGCAGCAAATTAAGCATCACTTAGGGAGGTATGAGCCAGACAACTGCATCCTGCTACACTTGTTTACAAAAGAGACTGATCGTAACACACTTTTACTCGCTACCAGTTTTCACCCTGTTTTTTTTTTTAAAAAGGACTGCCTAAGAGTCAGTTCTACAGATTGAGGAGGATTTGTCATTCTGATTCCGACTTTGAGAAATCTAAAATCATGAAAAATACATTTTTGAACAGAGGTTACCCAGCAAACATTTGGACGTGTAATGACCGTTGAAAAGACGTCCGTCCGACACGTCCCGTTATGGTTGAAAAATAGTTCCAAAATGGAAGTTGAACCGACGTCTTTTCTGGCCGTGAATTCCACGTCTTTTCTGGCCGTGAATTCCACGTCTCTTCTGGCCGTGAATTACACGTCTTTTCTGGCCGTGAATTACACGTCTTTTCTGGCCGTGAATTACACGTCTCTTCAGCGCGTCCCTGGACGTCTAAATGCGTCATCATTTGTGTGTTTAAATGTGTTGCTGCATAATTTAAGTGTATATAAGCCTGCATTTAAAATAATCACACACATATTGTGTAACATCGTGAAAGGCAATCAAGTCTTGAGGTTTACACATCTTGACAAAGGTTTTAAAAAGTTCCAAAATTGGTCCAGTCAGACGGACCTGACCGTCAATAAAACGTTTCAATCACGTGTACATCACAAACAAGAACACATTATTTGTGGACATAAGAAAAAAAAGCATGTTCTGATTTAGCAAATTTTATTGATCTTGAACAGCGAAAATGTCTCTTAATATTTTTTCAATGTTTAACATTTGTTAACCAAACTAAAATACCAATTACAAAATACTGAATTATTATATAAAGGGATAGTTCACCCAAAAATGAAAATTCTTTCATTTACTCACCCTCATGTTCCAAACCTGTATGAGTTTATTTCTTCTGCTGAACACAAAAGAAGATATTTTGAAGAATGTTTGTAACCAAGCAAATAGAGCAACCATTGACTACCATTATTTGAGAAAGATTAATGGGAAGCGATATCTTGGTTACAAACATCTTTGTGTTTAGCATAACATAGAAAGGTATACAGGTTTGAAACATGAGGTGGAGTAAATGATGACAATTTTCATTTTTGGGTGAACTATCCCTTTAAACACATTGTTTGGCTCAGTTTTTGTATCCACCAGCGTGTTTCAGGTGTTCTGCCATTGCTGCATCAATTTCAGAGTCTGTAGCATTTGGGCTCCACCTTTTCACAGCATCTAAGGGAAGAGAAATATATATATATATATATATATATATATATATTAATAAATAAAATTATAAATTTGAGGTAAATGATATGCACTTATTTTCAAAATATTTTTATGGTCTACAGCTAAATAAAAAAAAAAAAACATGGAACAAGATGAATGAATCATGAATAAAACATTAGAAAAAGGTAATCAACATGCATTACATTTTATTTTATTGTATAAAATATGTTATGCTTTATTTTTAAAGCAGTTACTGGAAACATACATGTTAAAATCCAGCTAAACATTTCATTCCATTTCAGATAATTTACTTTCTGAAAGAAACTCTCAAAAGGCTACATTAATAAGTTACAGTAATAACTTTGACTGTATCATTAAACAATATACTTGGTATACCGTTGTTGTATACGTTTAAAGTTAATATTAGCCTACTGGCTAATTTTAGCCAAACTCAGTAAATTTCAGTTGACAATGTGGGCATCATTTCTTTCTGTTCATTCATGTCACACAAGTAAACCTCAAGCACGTTAATCTAATACAAAATGTACTTACCAAACAGTAGATTTTTAATAATACTATCGACACAACTCCATCCTCTCCTCGTGGTTGTTCAAAGTTCTAGAATCTATGAGAACGCGTTAACATCTCGCGAGATAATCTATCCTATCGCGGGATTTTGTTGTATTGCGAGATTTTTTGTTCATCTTGGCAGCACAGTTTATGGTTTGGGCACATCCAATTCAGACATAAATGGTGACCGGGTATATTACTGTTTTTGTATATAAATACATTACATAAAAAATAACAACGAAAACATCAGGTACAACAGGTTAAAATAATGACTAAAATGCAGTGGCTTTGCAATCACTTGACTATACTGGGCATTTTGTGATTATAATATATAAAAACAAGATAAAGTAGATATATGTTCTTTTGTATATAAATTGTGTATTTCATAAAGATATAACAGGTTAAAATAATGACTAAAATGCAGTGGCTTTGCAATCACTTGACTATACTGGGCATTTTGTGATTATAATTTATAAAAACAAGATAAAGTAAATATTCATTTGTATATAAATCGTGTATTTTATAAAGAATTATAATTCCTGATAATTTGTTTCTGTCTTGCTACTAGACGTGCAAAAGACGTCAGTGGACGTATAGTATTCACAGCCTGACTAGACGTGTAAAGGACGCCAGTGGACGTCTTCACAACCTCTTAAAAACTTCATGGGCAATTACATTAATTATTGCAGTATTAACCATGCGAGGATTAAGCGCAGCTTTTGCATATTTAACAAGGATTTCATAGAGGGTCATGATGGACTATAAATGCACGTGAAAAAACGTCGCCAGGTGACGTCCTCTCACCCGATACACTAAACATAACTACACGTAGCTAAAAGTTAAAATAACAATTATACATGCCACTGTAGACATGTACAAATGTATCTGAATGCATTTTTAGGAAATGTTCTGTGTTACATATTTTTACCGATTTATGACGTCTGGCCGCAACTATTTTTGGCCAGGGACACGACGTTGCCGTCGGACCAATGTTTGCTGGGTACCCTTTAGATTGGGTTGATGAAGCATTTAATACAGCTTTTAAAAAGACACGGTCTGAATTGTTAAAAAAGAAGACAAAAAAATCAAGAAAGTATTCTTTTTCTTGTATTACAACACATTCACCTAAGTCTTACATGATAAAATCAATTTTTAAAAAACACTGGCATTTGTTGTCTTCTGATCCGGAGTTGAGCGATATTTTTAGACATCCTCCTTTGATTGTATACAAACGCGCTAGAAATTTAAAAGACAGCTTGGTACATGCGCGTTTTCAGAGTGCTAGTCCTACATCTCAGAGCTTAGTTAGTCCTATACAGAAGGGCAACTATCGTTGTGGGAATTGCGCTCAGTGTAATAATACTTTTAAAACATCATTTTTCTGTCACCCTAGAACTGGCAAAAAATATTGTATTAAATCTGTGATTACTTGTGTTTCCACTCATGTGGTTTATTTGATTCGTTGTCCTTGTGGTATTGGCTACGTGGGGAAAACGTCACGCCAACTAAAACAAAGAATTAGTGAACATAAGAGTTCGATCAGAAGAAAATATATGAATTATCCAGTTGCGGCACATTTTGTAACTTTGAATCACGATGTTACCTCTTTACGGTTTTGTGGGATTGAGAAAGTGACTTTGCCACCTAGAGGTGGCGACATTGAATTACTCCTACAGAGACGTGAATTGTTTTGGATTTACACTCTCCAAACTTTATCACCTAGGGGTATGAACGACGAAGCATTATTTAATGTAATGTTATAGTGATTTTGTAAAGTTTTGAATGACATGTTGTTTCTGCTGTGTATTTGTAATGAGTTTGAGTGGCTAAGGAGCCTGACTGTTGCAACTGTTTAGAATTACAATTTGATGCTGTTTGATGATGACGTGTTGATTATGTGTTTTGGATGATCTTGTTAACCTATAGGGTGATCTTTACTGATTGTTGTAACTATTACAATTTGTAATTGTTTGTGATGTGGTGCTAATTATGTACATCCAATGAGCTTAATTGTTTACAGATGGAATTCTGGCAATTGGTCATGTTTTTTATCTGAAAAGAGATGATTTTGAACATTCGTATACTCCTGATGAAGGTCGTGTGACCGAAACGTTGTGTGTTAATAAACTTTCATTTTAAATTGCAAGTTACGATAGTGTGCGGGAGTTCCTTATCTACTGAATATAAGTTAAAACTACATAAGTTGTGGACTATGGTTTTATTTGCAACATCTTTTTTTTTAAATATGCATTTCCACATACAGCTGAGTGGTTACTACAATAAAAATCTAAAAAATAAATACAATTTCAAACTACATAGCCTAAAATGTAAATGTAACAGAAATTAGGCCAACATTAAAGCATGAAAAAATAAATAGGCCTATGCCTCAAACATTGCAGAAGACCATTAAAAGGTATTAAACAATTGACAATTCAAGTATAATGGTTCCTATGCCACCAAATGGCATTCTTCAAACTGGCATCCCCTTTATATAAGTTATATATTTTTAATTATGAAGTTAAAACCGCCAGTAGGTGGCGCCAAATCACCGTCTTAATGTACGAGTCATAGAAGCATTCAGTCAACTGATTTGTTCAAAATGGCAGATTCGTTCTGGAACTAAGCAACTAGGTCACTGAATCACAAATACGCATAACTCTTTCTGTGGCTTGTTTGGATTGTCATTGGAGAAATAGAGCAAAAACAGAGAATATTTGGAATAGTATGTCTAAAATGTCACATCACAATATTCACTCTTTGTTTACTGAACTGTTTTATAAAATCATCACATTTGCAATCGCGCCAATATTCTGGAAATATTTTTTTATATAAGTTATAATTATGAAAATAACTCATACTAGGGCCATTTTTCCACCACATTTTGAATTTTGGGTGCATATTAATTTCTATGGCATTTTTTGCCACCAACCCCCTGATAACATCTATCCCTGCTTGAAGAGAAACATAAACGACAAACCTAACAGTTTCTATATTGTTTTTCGTCATTGGAAAGAACGACATTTTTGGCTTTAAAGCATGATTTAAAAAGAAATGTGGCAAATGTTATACAAAACATATACCATGATTATTATCATTAGAATATTGACAACATTAAGCTACATTTGAAAACATAATTGTGTATAAAGAGGCATGCTGTTTTGACATGCATTATTCAGGCATTGCTGTTATACAGGCATTGCTGTTTTGATTATTATTCTCTCTAGATTTAAAGATAGTCAAATTAACTATTACAAACAGGTTAAACGAGCCATAGCTTACTTTTAGACGTGGTGAATGAAGTTCGACTGTTCGAGGTTGTGATGGTCGTCCGATATCCCTTGCCAGTTATTATGCGTACAACATATCTTCTTGCATGAATATGGTCAATTTCTAGTGTTTATATCCAAAAAGAAACGATGCTGGGAGCTGTTTTTGTATTTAACACGCTCACCGCGATGTAGGCATAGACAGTAAAAGAAATGGACAGAGCGATCTCATTGGAACTCAGTTGAGACAGTTGAAGCCCACCCAGAGGAAAATTTTACTGCTCAAAGCTTGCTTTTCTATAATAGCTCAGGAGACAAATTTGAGATTCTCATCTAAGCCTTATTTTAATCTCTATTTTGTCTAAAATGTTTCTCATATGTTTCTCCTAAAATTCACTAGGAGCAATAGGTGAGACAGAGGAAAATTTTACTGCTCAGAGCTTGCTTTTAGGAGACAAATTTGAGATTCTCATCTAAGCCTCATTTTAATCTCTATTTTGTCTAAAATGTTTCTCATATGTTTCTCCTAAAATTCACTAGGTGAGACAGAATAATCAGAGGGAGTCATACCTGAGACTAAAAGGAGATGCCTTGCTAATCTCAATTCGGTGTTTTTAATGACTCCTTTATTTCTCCTTTGAAAAAGAAAATGAGCAATACTGGAGCTACTATGGAGCAATATCCAGTCTCTCGCTCACTCTCCCTCTCATGCACACACACACGCACATGAATTACTAATTCAATCATATGACCTTTTCCTCCTACCAGACTAGATTCACCATTCTAAACAACACAGATCATCCACTAACATCTTGATGGACCAAAGAAACAACGGACAGGAATGCTACTCTCTCTTCACTGCAGGACAGACAGAAGATCATCCACAACCATCAGGCTTTAAAAATCTATAGCAAATGGCAGATTAGCTGGTTTAATAAAGAAATTTGAATCTGAATCTTTATTTAAATCAAAATAACATTAACAAATTTAAAGACATTTTAAAGACAGCAAAAACTGTTTAAACATGGTCATTACAAAACTAAAGTGCTTTTTTTTGTGTGTAAAATTCTGTTTTTAAAACAGTAACAATTTTAACAATGTTATGAGCAGTGGCAGGCCAGGTTTACAACAATTCACAACAATAAACTTGAGTCTCTGACGCCAACATACATAATTTGAAAACAAGGACTTTTTGTGAACATTGTCCTTTCAACAAATGTCTCTGTGTGCCCCATCCGATATTTACAGTGTTGTGGCCCTGATGCGGCATTTGTTTATGAAGGCTTTTTTGACCTTACTTTTCTCAACCGGTGTCCAACCATCCAGTGTACTACAGCGCATGACGTAAGCTGCAAGAATAAAAGAAAAGAAAGCACAAATTACAGATTGCATTGAGTAACCGCAGTTACCACAACAGTATTAAAGGGATACTCCACTTTTTTTGGAAATAGGCTCATTTTACAACTCCCACAGTTTTACCGTTTTTGAATCCATTCAGCCGATCTCCGGTTCTGACGGTACCACTTTTAGCATAGCTTAGCATACATCATTGAAGTGGACGAGACCATTAGCATTTCTCATTAAAAAATGACCAAAGTGTTTCGATATTTTTCCTATTTAAAACTTGACTCTTCTGTAGTTACATCGTGCACTAAGACCGACGGAAAATGTAAAGTTGCGATTTTCTAGGCTGATATGGCTAGGAACTATACTCTCATTCCTGCGTAATAATCAAGAAACTTTACTGCCGTACCATGAGTGCAGCAGGCGTAATGATATGACGCAGCGCCTGAAAATAGGCCACCTTCCGTCAACACAACGGAAGCATGTACTAACGTGTGGTTAAGATGGTATATTCATGCAGGAATTCATATGACTCATGTCATGTTAGTTCTTCATTAGTACATGTCTTAACTCATCATTAGTTCATAGTAAAGTAATTATTAATTCAGGTATTAGTACATGATTATTCATGTACTGTTATTGTAAAGTGTTACCCATAATGTTAATGTTGCCTCTTCTACTGGTGTTGGGTCACCTTGCTGTCTTTGTCGTAAAACAGAAAACAAAGAAAAAATACAAAAACACATTTGACCCATAATCGTACTTACAAAATCTGTAATCGTTGCATCCCTAGCTACAACACTAAAACATAACCTGAAACAGTTAGCCTATATAATGTTTATCTAACTTTTGTATTCTGCCTTTCAGCTGATAAAAATTATTTGTTCTTTAGTCACTTCCAGAAAACACCATTACATCACAATGTAACATAACATGTCTTTATTTTACATGACATTTTAATTCAGCATCACTGAGCCCAAAGGCAGCAGCATCATGCCGATCACTATTTTTGAAACAGTTCTGACCAAGTCCAACTAAAATCCAACAAAATAAATAATGAACAAATAAAATATAAAGCAACATGAATTTAGATAATTGACAGTCTTATATATTTAGAATATATTAAACCAAAAACGTTCCTTTTTTTTAGAAAGGATGTGAATTAAAACAATCACAGCAGGCAAAAGTTGATAAATTCTGTTAAATTTAAAATTTAATTTACCGAATTATCCATTTGTTTTCTGACAGAAACAAATGGAACGAATCACCGCTTCACATTTTGATTGACAGCCGTCATAACCTACTAGTAGTGACCGTGTTTACTCCTGTCCTAAACCTAAATCTGCACCGTTACGAATTTAGAACAACGCCCCTGTTCTAAATTCACTGTAAATCACGGCTTCGTAGGGCTTATTGGTTTATTTTATAGCACAATGTTTTTGGAATTAGCAGTTTATACTGTACGTCTTATAATAATTTAAAATTCAGAAAAGAAATGCATGTTTGTGACTATTCTGCAAGTGCAAATCTCAACATTCAATTTCAGATTTTGATTGTACAGGTTTTCACATCTGAGCTGTACGAATACATTTTAGCATAACTTACATGCATACTCTTTTATCTGGGTCACTGTCCTGCAGAGTTTAGCTCCAACTTGTCTCAAGACACCTGCCTGGAAGTGGTGTCTAACGTTAGCTGGTCCAGGTGTGTTTCAGTGGGGTTGGAGATAAACTCTGCAATACCCTCTGTTCCTTACCTACCTGTCTACGAGACTTTGTTCCCCATCCCCCTGTGGCGATGTTTCCAGCAAACTATCAAGCTGGGCATTTATGCGATCCCTAATCGTAGTTAGACGTCTTCTGAAATGATTTGCCTCAGACATTTTTCATGGTCTCAGATAACGGGGGGTACGAGCCAGACTACATCCGGTCCTGCACCGGATCTTAAACTAGACCTTTTTTATTTTATTATTTTTTATTATTTAATTTACATTTACACTTCACAGTCATTTACAGTGTGTTTACACCGCGAAACAAATTCTCCCCTTGCCATTTTCGCGCTCTTCCACACTGGATTGTCCTCTCCGACTTGCCGTAGAGCCCTCAAACTCAGAAGAGGAGGGGCCATGTAGATGAGCTCACAAATCTGCATTTTGAGTGG